AAGGGATGCAGTGATTTAGGAGCTGTATAACACATGAACTAATCATAGTAAAGATATTATAGGGACAATCGAATTTGGCATAGATGAGAAGAAACAAAAATAGAGTTATTTTCGAAGCGGCCTGTGATATAAATAGATAGCAGAAGTTACAGACGTTTTGCCCTAAAGTTTTTGAAGTAAAGCAACCAGTTTTCCAAAGTTTTTGATTAATAGGGTTTTATTAAATAACACATGTGAAATTGAATGAGTTATATTCTTATGATTGGTAAGTAAAGTATAATTACAATTGTTTTTGCCTCTATACAATTATGTTTGGCCTCCACAGAAGAATGTCTTATAAAATTTAAATTTTCAAATGAAGTTACATAATTTAAGAAAAATCTATTGATATATGAACATGTAACTTTCACCTGTTAAAAACCTGGTTTTATTGTCAAATTATTATTCAAAGAAAGATTTTCTAAAGATTTCAGTAGCTGTCTACAGATTAGTGGATTGGAGAATTTAGGTTAATAAACCTCAACTCTTGTGAGTGTTAGCATAGGTGGCACTAAATAAGATGGTTGGCGGAGAATACAATTAGAAATACTTTGACCCTTTTCTTTCGCCTCAGGTTCATATTATCTAGTTTTTCTCTCGAGCTGGCCCCTTGGGTGTTGAAGTAATTTCCTGATAAGCTTTGAAATTTCCTCTGTGTGTTCATTCCTTACTCTCTCCTACTAGATTTCAATTCGAGAGAATTGTCTAAGGGGAGGAGATTGAAACACCCTGAATTTTTTATTTTCGAAAAACTTTTGAATTTTTATTAAATCAAAAAATTTGAATTTTTTGACAGTACTGGGCCCGTAAATAGTGAACAAATTTTAATTTTGAGTTCAAGTTTTGCAAATTAGGCCCAAGCCCAAAAATATAATGTTCGAAATTTTTTGAATCGAGAACAATTAAATTTTTGAGTAATAATATGAAGTCCATAGCAATTAATCTATTATGTATATATATAACCATTATCCTAAAAAATCAAATATGATTACTAAACTATATTTTTATTTTTTTTATTTAGTTTTAATGGAGGAAATGTTATGAAACCTTAATTATATAAATTAAAATAAATTGACCGGACCCGAAACTCAGATTGCGATTTTAGAAACCACACGAATAATCCGAAAAACCAAGTGAAAAACCTGCAAACTGGGCAAGAACCGAGCCAAATCATAAATTGAACCGAATTCGGTTCGAAATCGAACCGGAAATGCTAGAGCGTTAGCCTTCTTCTTTTTCTTTCTTTTTTTTCTTTTCCTTTCTTTTCCCTTCTTCTTCTCCAGTCGCGCGATCCCTCCCCTCTTCATCCACGTTCTCTCCGATCACTGCACGACCAAGGGTGGGTGGCGACTGCCCTCCTAAAGCCTTAAACGACCACGATTCTGGCCCTCCCTTCACGCGGAAAGAGTCCCCATCGGCGCGAAACGGGACTGTTCACTCCGAGCAGCTCCCAGTTTGGATTTTCCGTTGATACAAGCTTGATCCAAGGCAGTTGAATGGCCACCAGGTGACTTCCGATTCGATTTCCTCCGCCTTGTGTGAACGATTTCCATCCAAGAAACGATGGTTTTTGGTGGAAGAAATTGGAAAAACACCATGGTCGGCGGGAGGAAGGGTCCTGTCGGGCTTGTTTCTGCCAAACGAGCCACCGGCTTCAACAATACTGATAGCAATTTGGAACTCCTCGCCGAAAATTGGAGTCGGATGGTGGTGACCTTGCAATTTTCTGGGCGTTTAAAAAATTTTCCGGCCACAGTGCACGGCGGCTGGCGACGCGTCCGGTGACGCGGGCCGGCGACACTCCGGCGAGGCCCAAGAGGCAGAATGATCTCCCACTTCGCGTTGATCATGGAATTGGGAGGTCCGATTCTCAAACAGTACGCCCTTAATACCTATTTCCCTAAATTTTGTTTTAAACTCCAAAATTTAAAACTATTAATTGATTAAGTTTGAAATCAAAATCTAATCCTTTTGCTATGAAATTAATTAACTGATTAATGTAGTTACAAATTAATTTTGAACATTTTTAAAATAAATTAAAATGTTATTGTTATAAAATAGGTGAATTGAGGGGGAACTAAATTAGAATTAGTTAATTAGTTATTAGATAATCATTTAGTTTAAAAAACTAACTAACCGATGTGCAATAAGAAAAGTGAGGCAAATTTTAGTTGGTTAACGGTTAGATCGGTTAGATCCGAAATTTTGATTAATTAAGATTTGGGAGGCCTAGCCATTTTTGATATTGATATAAAAACCGAATTTTAATAGGTAGTAGTTATAATTAGTTATTATTAAAATATGTTTTAGCCGTTTAACAAATTAGTTATCGTAAAGCTAATAATTTAGTTAACTAATGACTTAATAAATGATCTTATATGGATATTATTAGAATTAGTTTGTAAATTTTTAGTTGAGTGTTGATATTATTGTTTTTGGAAGGAGGATGAGATTTTAAATTGATTGATTGCCCGACGGATGGGCTGTGTGCACTGATTGATAAAGATATGATAATATTGTGATATTAGATACGGCCCAATTTTTAGGGGAGGTGCTGCCGAATTTTGACAGAATTTAGACAAATTTTTTAATTAATAAACATAACAAATAAGCTTATTTAGATAAAATTTCTACATTTGTACATAATAATAATAAAAAGTGCTTTAACTACCTTGTAATTTTGATAGAAATTAGACTAAATTTTAATTAACAACATAATTAATAAGTTTATTTAGATTAGTTCTATAATTTGGTACATAATAAATATAGTGCTACTGATTATTTATTATCTTTAGTATTCATTTAATTATGTACATATTTATTTATTTATTTATTTATTTGCATTGATTTTGGATGTATTTGGTGTAGTACGTTGAGAGAATTGTTTGAATAATTGTGCTGTGCATATATTGTGTTTTGTTTGTGTGGAATTGGGATGAAGTGGGTCACCATGGGACTGTGAGACCGTACAGTTATATGGATCCAATATGATTACCGTTAGCCGGGTAAATGGGAGATCGGCGCCCCCGTGTGCACCTACCGTTACCGTTACCGTTAACCACGGGTTGCTTCTCGTCGTTGCGCACCGGACAGTCTAGATTTGATTGGCAGGCCCGCAGGTGGCCTGCCTGTTGTGAGGCGGCCTTGATGATCTTAGATTGGATGGAGACCACCGGTTGCCTTCCTGTTGGTATGAAAAGAAAAGAAAGAATGGAAAAACAATGGAGAGGGCTGGTCAAGTGAGATTAGACCGAGTCGGCCAGGTATGGGGGATCGGCCTCCCTGGTGCGACACGTGAGAGGATGGGCATGTGGCGAGGCGGCTCATCGGGGGGTTCGGTGACTCCACTGACTTAAATTTCCCGTATGTGATTATCATGAAGATGTTAATATATTGTGAGTGCTGGATATATGCCATTTGTGGTTGACTGGCTGTGTGAGCAATAACTAGCTCGGTAATGACTAGCATTTGACTATATTCATACATTTGTAGTGAATGCATGTATGTATTGTGCAATAATTATTATTCATTAATAAACTCACATCTCTTGTTTAAATCTTCCAGGAAGTAGCATTTTCTAAATCCCAGCTATAACTCTACTCCTTCACTGTTAAAAAGAGATTCTTTAATTTTAATGTTGATATATTAAGTAGATAAATGTCTAAAGACTTATCTGTATACATCTGTTAGTGAATTCCGCAGTTGTAGAATTTGTGTGCAATTAGTCGTGTATTAACATAGACGATGTAATTATGTGAGCCTATATTAAAAATATAATGTATTGTTAATTGGGCCCGAACTGTGGAAATGTTGTAATTGATAAATTTGGGCCGAAATTTAATAGAATCTTAAGGTTTATTTTTCTATAATTATAGGCTGGCTGAATGTTTTAAATTATTATATTGAGAAATAAGTTATTAGTGACTTCAGAATTTGGGCCGAAATTTAATAGAATCTTAAGGTTTATTTTTCTATAATTATAGGCTGAATGTTTTAAATATTATATTGAGATAATAGTTATTAGTGATTCAGACTTACTACGGGCCTCAGGGGCCTTAAGCTTACCTGGAGCCTAATGCCGGTCCGGCCCATGGAAACGGGTTGTGATAAAAATTAATCTCCATTATTATTTTTAATATTTCAATTAATAATAAGTAACATTTAGAAATTAATTATTTAATACATGGATGCTTTTATTTTTAGACAAATTAGAATATAATTACTATAATAGTTTGATTTAAATATAAATTTTCAAATAATTATAAAATTTAAAAGCAAAGCTAATATGAATTTGTTTGACTCAAACTACTAGAAATTGTAATATATTTTTTTTATCAAACTAGAATATAAGATATAATTATAGTGAATTATAATTTATAATTGTAAAATGAATGAAAAAATATATTTATTCAAGACAATAATTAAACTTAACAAATTTGTGTCAGTAAATTCGAATTAAGTTAACTCAAAGTCTAGTATATTTCATATTAATGTAATTTTTAAATTTAATTACAATTTTGAGTTTTATTGAAATAAAAAATTAAAATTCAAAATAGATGTAAATATCAAAATGGAGTGAAATTGGTTCAAGGTGAAACAATGCTATAAACCTAGTCAATCAATAGATACACACATTAAGGAAATAATAAAACGTGATTGCCATCATTTTTAGTCAAAAAAAATATTAAAATTTAATTACAATAAAATATTAGCAAAATGAAAGGCTAAGTTGACAGCACTCATGTCAGTAGAAACTTAAAAATGATACTACTGATACTGCATAAAACTTTAAAAATACCAGTAAAAAAAAAAAATACAAAACCAGAATTATTTTATGATCCTTTAAACCTCAGATCACCATATTACCTTGTGCGAGGAGTTTTTTGAAGACAATACAATTAAGCCTTGTTCATCTATTCTCATGGTAGGATTATTAGGCTATCACAAATAAGGCTTTGTAATGATTTTCACAAGATTGAGGAAAATGAAAAATATATGAGAAAGATACAATAACATTGGCCATAGCATAAATCTACTGTTTTTGTTTGACAAGTATTTTTTGGAGAGGTGATCAGTTTCATGACTGAAAAGAAGAGAATCAAAACAACAAATATAAATACAGATCTTGGAAAAAAAAGAACATTCCATTGTTACAGAAACTCAAATGAGTTCTTTCTCTTCGAATTTTTTGATTTGTATTACAGATTGAAATCCCTTTAAATAAGGGGCAGTTTATAATGTAAGATCATTGGAATAATATGTAAAATTTGCAGATTCAAAATCCAATATATCAATATTGTTTTCCCCAAAACAGAATCATACTGATTCATCTCTGGGTTTAACATCATCACTTCATGATCATTTTTTTCCACTTACAGATGGTACAGATGTAATCACCATCCATCATATACCCAAAATCCAATAATTTCTGAGGAAAAAAAAACCCATAAAAGTTAGTTATTCAAATGAAAATCAAACTCATTAATATTTCAAATAAAAACCAATTCAATTAAAGATTAAAAAAATATGTATTTTCTTAATGAAATTTTGTTTAGATACTAACCGCAAGCCATTGGCTACATAGCTTAAGACCGAGCTTGCAGTTCTGCCTCAACAGATCCAGGAAACATAACCAAACTCAAATTCAGATAATAAGATATATTGAAAAAACGGAACCTTCAAAACATAAAACTGGATCAAGGTTATCAGTAATAGCAAACAAGAAAAATATATATATAACCACAGAAAACTTCGATTTACAAGCGGATCATCGTGATGTGGTTATGAGATGTAGTTCCAGCAGCAGTAGCCATTTGAGAACTAAAAAGTGCAGATAATTCCGTCTGATTTGACAAAAAATGACAGTCTCATATTTGTTAAATAGAATTTAGTACTATGAGACTGTCATTTCTTTGTCAAAAGAGATGGAACTAGCGGAATCAAAAACACCCAATAGCCCATGAACCTGAAAACCAGGCTACTAGTTGACATCATCAATCTCCACCGCTGCATAAAGCGATTTCTATTCTGGATACAGCGGTAGAGAAACGATGATATCAACTAGTAGCCGCGTGAAAAGGCACGGACTTCCTGAGGAACAAGCAGATTGGGGCGCTTCGGAGCGGCCTATTTTGCTATTGTTGGATATGTTACTATATATACTGAAAGGCAACGCAATGATTTGACAATTCTATCCTTAGATTAGTATGATCTAGAGTTAGGGTTAGTTAGGCACACGTACAGCTACAGCTGTCAACGCGTCCACGTGTCTTTATAATTGCACGTGACCTGCCACACGGCTTAGCTCATCATTGCACATATAATCTTAGCTAAAATAGGTTCTCTCTGTCTATTAATCAGGGCGTATGTATTATTTTTTTAATTCATTTCGGGATTTATGGGCCGAAATAACACTGCGGACTATATAATATAAATAACTCTTTTCTTAGCTTACCAAATTAATGACAAGAGCTGTGGTCGAGAGGACTCAATTCGAGACCTCCCACTCCTTACATAAATAAGAAAACCAACTAGACTATCACTTGATTGGCAAGACAAATGTATTATTTAAAATGTCAAATTAACGTTTTTTTTATTTATGTGACATGTTTGTTGATTGAATTTTAAAAATTACTTTTTTTGAATTACATGCACTCAGCAAATTAAATGACCGGATCATATTATAATTGCATTCTTGTTAATTTAAAATATTAACTTTTATTATTCTCAAAAAAATATTAGCTTTATCATTACAATCATTTAGGTAAAATAATTAGAAAATATAGATATGGTTGATTCTTGAATTTGAAGAATCTCTTACTTTTAAATAGAATTAAAATGATTTTAATTATTAAAATTTAAGTTGCCTGATAATAAAAAACAAGGGCTTATTGTTCACCAAAGTTAGAGCCAGAGATAAGCCAAACTATAATCTTTAGCTTATGGGTCAATTTTAACGAGCAAAAAAGATAACTAAGGAGTTATGAAATCCGCTTTGGCGAACCTTTAGCAACTAGGTTGTGGAATTTATTTTTCGGAGGTTGCACCTAAAATCTTTCTGTTTTAGTTTTTTCACCCTATCAACATTCAAAGAGATGGAGTGGAGGACCGTGGTCCTTTAATAATCACCTCCTTGTCATGGACAAAATTTCTCTGAATATGGATTCCTGACATGTGCCTCTCTAATGACTTGCTAGGCAAATTCCACATCAGCTAAGTACAAGTTGAAAGTGATATATATAAGAAAGGGCAAGCCTTAGACTAGCAAGAGGCCTTTTGGGCTATGAAGTGGTTCTAGCCCAAGAACAAACCCATGCAAGTCTGAGTGGATTCGGCCCCAAAGCGGACAATATCTTATTAGGCCTGGGATGCCATATCTCTTTTTTATTGAATTCTGGGTGTAGGTCCATGGATTGCCTAGCGGCTTCATGTCGTACAGTAATGAGTCACTTTATTTGTTTCTTTATTTCCTATGACCCTAATAATAATGCCTCGATCTAAAGATCATTCATTCGCATTTGTGTTATGATGGATGTTCGTTAGCCCTTGGAACGACAAAAGTAATTACAGAATGATAAGGAACTTGAAGCTGTGGCCCAGTTTAAATATAAAAGGGTACCTATTTTTTGCTATATATGTGGTGAGTTAGGACATAATGACCAGTGAATCCCAAAATGAGTATGATGATAGCAGGCGAAATCCAAAGCTCAAGGGAGGATTCGTACCAAATAAGCTAGATGATTCGTGAACCAATATTATTGAGAAATTTGTAATGGCAATAGATTTTTGCAATTATCTCTTGTAGAATTTTAAAAAGGGACTTTTCAAAGGATTATTTAAGTAACATCATGATAAAATATTTTCTAGCATATGGCAGTATTAGCAATTAGACCTTGGGTCTAGTATTTTTAATTCTCTCTTCAATTAGAGGAAATGACATTGTATTTCAACAGATAGGGAAAACCTATGAACTATCATTAATTAGTGAATGGTATGGGTAGTTGCTTTAGCGGATGTGATAATTGTCATCACATCTCGAAGGCAAGCAAACATAAAATATGATACTTAATCGGTAAGGTAGCACAAACACCAAAGTGGGAGGATGCAAATCTTTACAATTCTTAGCATAGCTCCACCTGTAAATTGACCACTATCTTAGCGGGATTTTGTATCTAATTTCTTTACTATCAAACTGCTTTTGTTGCTCTCTCAATTGACCACTATCTTAGCGGGATTTTGTATCTAATTTCTTTACTATCAAACTGCTTTTGTTGCTCTCTCAATGATCATGCCAGTTCATCTTCCCCTCCTATTTCTAGAGCTTTTTAAAGAAAGATGCGTCCTCCAGTAAATTTGAATGTTTGACAGATTTAGGAGTATGCAACAGATCATGTCACATTTTACCTTGTTTAGGATTTATAACTCAGAGGAGTAGTGGAAGGACCTGCTTTCTTTTTTAAGGAATATCCTTTTATGGTCACGTTTACTCTAAACCCTTCCAAGGGTTTAAGAAAACAAGAACTTTGGTTTCTATGAATTCTTGTATCTAAGAGAAATAGCATGGAAAATTGTTTTATTTAGGAGTCAAACCCCCATGTTCAACTACTACTTAAAACCTCCAAATAGTTTGATGAAGCTAAAACTCCAGTTCCTTTGGAGCACCATCACTATCTCCTCTATTTCTCTCGAAATTTCCACTCTAGAATTGTTCAACTTTCTAAATGAACCAAACAATCATGACTTCTTCCTTTGGACTTTTTTAGAATAGTTTCGATCACTCATTAGTGGAGGATTAAACAACATGAGATAATTGAAAGGGAGAAGTTGTGAATAGATCCTGAATGCACTTAAGCTATTATCTTAATATTCATTTTTCATAGACCGTAGCCATGGTCTACGTAATAAGGTTGAGGTAATTGGATGAATAGCAAGCTAAGGATTTTGTCTACAGACTTGATGAGACTGTTCCTTCGAGATGAATTTTGCAGACTTACTGGGTTTGATAACATAGTATTTATGGCCCCAAGCACCTTGATTGTGTCATCAAGATCTCCACTTTTTCTTATTCCATCTAGAGGCAAAGGAGCAGTTAAGCCATCTCTAAAACCTTCATTGTCAAGCTAGGCCAGTGCTAAAACCTTCATTGTCAAGCTAGGCCAGTGCAATGACCCCAACACCGTCTCAAGAACTTTGAAATCACTTAATGTTAGTAATAGCTAAATAGTATCTAGACATCTAACGTAGAGTCTAATATAGATGTTGATGAAACGTGATTAGGAAGTAAGCAAATAGTGTATGGGTATGGCAAGATATAGAGAACTTAAGTAATATAATGAGGAGTTTGCGCAAATATTGCCTCCTCAATCTATGTAATATTAAATTGAGTGGCACTATAAATTGATCTTATATGTATAACATAACATTAGAAACCTTGATTGTCCTCTCGAGGTCATTAGAGGAATCTTTTGTAGAAAAGAAACACGATAGTTGGTGATAGAAATAAACTCAGAATACCTCACCTCCTTCCTTTGCTCAGTTTATATTATTCGCTCTTAAGCTATCTTTTTTGTATTTGAAGTATCTCTTATGATCTTGAAATCACCTATGTATCCATTCCTACTCTTCCTTACTAAATTTTAATTCGAGGATGAATTATTTTAAGAGGGGGAGACTGAAATAACCCACAAATTTATTTTCAAAACTTTCGAATTTCAATTATGAAATAACCCACAAATTTATTTTCAAAACTTTCGAATTTCAATTAAATCAAAAATCTAAATTTTCGATTATATGAGCAGCAAATACCAAAAAATTTTAATCTAAATCCAAATTCGCAGATTGGACTCAACCCAAAAACGTGTTATCAAACTATCTAGTCGAGAATCTTCTAAATTTTTCAAGAATTAGAATTTAAGTTAAATATTAAACTGATTATTAAAATATATATATATGACTATTATTTAAATTAATTATCCTAAACTCAATTATCACTATCATATTATATCGTTATATTATTATTACAATTATTAAACACAACAACATTGTTATTATTAACTACACTATAGAATGATCTAGAACTTAACCATGATTTAAACCGTTTAAATCATTGAAAAACTAGTGATCAAACTAGTTAAATCGAATCAAATTTTAGGTAAATATGTTTATATTTTTTAAACCGAACCCTTAAATTAAAATTAAACCCATTGAAAAATCCATAAACCAATTGGAAATCAATAAATCAATTAAGGAAACCAACTAAACCTCAGGAATCGGACGAAACCATGCCTGATTTGAACCCAAACCGACAATTAACCAATTAGAAAGCCCTAGAACATGGGATTACCCATTTTGTCCTAACCCAAATTCTCCCCTGCCTGCTAGTGCCGACCTCAGGCCCCTCCCTTATCCTCTTTCATTTCCCGGCCACCGGAGCTCAAGCTTCGCCTACAAAAGCTCCTTCTCATCGCTGTCGTTCCTTCTGTCACCCTCCTTCTTCAGTTTTGGTCGGTTTATAGCGTGGCAGGAAGGGAAAAGCTTTTTCCGATCGGACAGTCACCTTCGATTTTCTTCTTTCTTTTTTTCGGCGACTCCTGCTCAACTGGTCGTCCCCAACTCTCTTCTCATGGCAACGGCTCTCAGTCTCTCAGTCTCTCTCATCTAAATACAGCTTTTCTTTCAAATCTTCTCCCAAATCTCATGCAACAGAAATCTCAGATCTCTCTCATCTAAAGCAAAACCCAGACTGTTATAGCGAGCAACAACCTCAACTCATTTTTCTTCCTCCTTAAAGGTACAAACTCTTTTCATTTTTTGTTTCTTTGTTTGGATCAAATAAACATTATTTCTGTAGAAATAAACATTGTTTCTTTGTTTGGATCATATCACCCACCCGCACTACAATGTAATCATCAGGAAGCTAAGCCGTCCGATCACGTAGGGCCCACATTTGATCAATGAATTCATCACATGGTACTGTGGGGTCAGGCAGCCAGTTTTGTGGTTGCCAGCAATTTTCTACTGGTTTAAGAAGTGGAAGCACATTCTCTTTGGCCCAAGTTTCTAAGGATTTAAATATTTCAATCTTGTCAGGCGGCATTGAATGGGTCTTTTGGTGCTTTAATAG